AAGTTAATAAAGTAGATCTTTAAAAATATATTTTACTTAGAAAGTATATTATTAAAATTAATATTTAAGATTTTATTTAAAAATTAGAATTTAAAAAAATGAACACAGGCAAATTTGCCTGTGTTACAATTTAAGGGATAATTTCATAGCTACGTCATTTTTGGCTATACTTAATAGCTACACATATTCATCTAGTCTTTTTCAATATCTTTGAAAATTTGATCTTTACTGAGAGTTTTGATTTTACTAGAGATTTGGCTATTTATTAGAATTTTGTTTTTCATCAGAGTTTCACTATTTACCAGGGTTTCATTTTTTATCAGGTTTAGTTTTTGCTAGGACTTTATTTACTAGTAGTTTGGGCATCAGTTTCTTGTTAGTAGTAAATTGTAGTTAATCTGTTGTTGTGTTTTAAGCTTTGCTTCACTAGTAGCTTTGTGTTTTATTTCACTAGTGATTATTTAATTTAAGTAGAATTAGACTTAACAGTTAAGGTTAGATAATTAAAGTTAGAGTTGGTTGTTTTAAATACCTAAAATTTTATTATGCAATAGCACTTTAGAATAATATATGTAATATTGCCATAATGTAGTATCTTCCCAGTAAAATACACTTTCATGTGATTACTGAAAAAATGTTTAAGTTTGTTTATATTAGAGTTAGTATTTAAATTAATGTTAGAAAAAGAAGATGATATAGTAAAATTTTGCAAAAAATTTTTTGTTAGTACACGAAAGGTAGTTTCTTATATGAATATTTGAGAAAAATGATTTTTGACAAAACTAACATTTATTTTAGACCTTTGTGATTGTGTTGCATTATATCAAAATTGTATTAATTAATGATTAATTTGTTGTAAATCATCACGTGAAAGTGATGGTGATATTGAGTCAAAATATGATCACATAACTATGTGTATATATATATAGTGTACAAATAGAAATCATTTTATATAATATAGTTATAAATAATAATACTATAATATCTAGAATTAGTAATAAAATCAAATAATTATTAATATATCATTTAGAATATCTTGGAGTATTATCTATACTTATATATTCTTATATAGCCTTGGTCTGGGCTCTGTTATATTAATAGACAATTCATCTATTATCTGATGAAGATCTGCAAATTTTATAAGTAAATTTTACTATTAAGCCAAATGTGAAGAGATTTTTTTTAAAACTTTTTTTACTAAGTAAATCACCCTTGGGCTTCTAACAAAAGTTGTAGAGCTCATCAAGACGCATCTAATAGTAGTGAGAATGCTAAAATCGGCCTGGTAGTTCTTGAGAAATCTTTAAAAAACGTTTTGCTGACATATAAAATTTCTTTAAAAAAAATCAATTTTTTTTAAAGAAATTTTATATGTCAGCAAAACGTTTTTTAAAGATTTCTCAAGAACTACTAGGCCGATTTTAGTGTTCTTACTATTATTAGATGCGTCTTGATGAGCTTTACAACTTTTGTTAGAAGCCTAAGAGTGATTTACTTAATAAGAAAAAAAGGTTTCTTTATATTGCTTTAAAAAATCACCATATTCACAAGTCAAATGAAGCCATACTGGATATCTATCGGTATGCCGATATGTCTTCTAAAAGTTACCGATACGTATATGACAACTATTTTCTAAATTAATCTGAAATATTACCAATAAGTAACTGATTTGAAACAAATTTTTAATGCAAATCTAAGACTTTGTAATTATTAGGTACCTTTTATTATAACATTCATAGTTCTATTGGTGGTCCCGATAATATTCTTAGATAAATCTGATAGGTATCTTGTAGTTCTATTAAACATAAGAATACCAGATACTTATCGATTTTTTTTAGAGACTTATCAGTATATCCAATAGAGCTATTTACTAATTTATATATTTATCAATTCATAATTTAATAACTTTTATTTATAATAAGAAAGTATAACTCATATATAATATATTATTGAAAGCAATATCTCAATTGTAATTTGCATATGCTATATATTATGCAATTGCTAATACTAATACAAATAATATAATTTTTTTTACAAAAAATATGCTATATCAACTATACATAGTACGATATCTAAGCTATAAAATAAAAAAAATAATACATTGCTGTTTTGGTAGAATTTTTATTTACCAGAAATATCATTTGCATCACCAGAATTGTCATGTTCTTCATTATTATTGTCGGTTTTGTTTTGGGATTCATCATAATCATCATACAATTCGTCATAATTTCTATTAGTGTCATCTTCAGTGCTTCTTTCAGTGCTTCTTGCATCTCTATTATTGCTACCGCTACTACTACTATTTGAAACTACTTCTTCTTTGTTATCATCGTCTTCCAGAATGTAAGAAGCAGAAATAGACCACTCAGAAGCATTGTTTGGAGGTGTTGATTTATCAACTCATCTATTGTCATTGTACTACTACTTTCTTGACAATTTAATGTGGAATATTTTTTCTTCTATTTCATCGGCCAACCCAAAATTTTTTTAATCTATAGTTAAAATAGAATAAAAAATAAATAAATAAATTTAAAATGAAATAATAAAAGGCTTACTTACTCTATGAGATCTCCAGGGCTTATCATAAACATGGAGAACATAGTTATCAATCTTTTTATTTGGATGTATTTTTTGTCATTTTTCTGCCTTCGTAAATTCAATATCCATTTCCAAAATTTTATTAAAATAGTAGCTTCTATCATTAATAATATCTTCAAGATCTTCTTTAAAATCGTCAAAATCCATCAATAGCGCAAGGTCTTTAAGATTTCTATCTTTGGTATTGATCATATAACCAATACCACAAATTCGTCTTTTTTTTTCTACAAATCATAAATTTAAAAAAAAAAAAAAAACCATTCATTTATTAAAACAAAAAAAAAAACACATTCATTTATTAAAACAAAAAAAAACAAAAAAAAAAAAAAAAAAAAAACTGTTCATTTATAATAAATATCAGCAACTCAGTAGTTTTATAAAAATGATTCATACTTATATCAAAATATCAAGCATTTACTCCCTTTCTTTTTCTATCAACTTTCAATTTATCCTCATCTTGATCTATAGACTATTTCTTACATCGGTGGAGGTGAAGGCTTTGGAGAATGTACTTAAGTTTACTAATTTTATATCTAAAACGACCCTCCAAAGCCTTACCAATTACTGGTATAGTTCGTTTTGATATTTTTTCATAAATTTTCATCCATCTTTTTGACAGATCAAGCTGCAAAGAATTATCAAGGCTATCTAAGATATTGACTACCTCATCCTAATTAAATAAAGATAATTAATAACTACAATACTATTAATTATTATAATATTGTTGACATATATGAAAAAGCTTATATTGATCGGAATCTATATCTTTCAAGAGCTCACGTGGTCTTCTCTTGTAACCAGTAGAGGGTTTTAGAGTTATTGAGGGCTTTTTTCAATTTCTCTCACGAATGTCTTGCTTCTTTTGCTTACTCTTGTCTTTATTTGTGGTAGCTTCAGTTGTACTAGTATTGTGGATACTTCAGTAGTTTTAATAGTTTCATTAGTTTCATTAGTTTCATTAGCTTCTTCAGGTGCTTTGGTAGTTTTGTTATTTTTAGATGTATTAGTAGTGTTGGTATTTTCAGGTGCTTTATTAGGTTCATTTTTATAGATTGTTTGATTATCATCATCCACAATATATATAGATGATCTTTCGGTGCAGTTGATTTATCAGCTTTTAATATTCTTACTTCATTAATCAGACTTTGCACTGTAGTTGTTAAAAGAATGATTT